CAATATACCAAATAATTTAACGAAAGAAATTAAATTTAGGTCTTAGAACACTTTGTCTAGGTTATGCCGAAATTAGTCAAGAACAATATAATAAATGGAATATTGAATTCCGTGAGGCATCAACTGCACTTAATGATCGTGATAAGAGAGTTGCTAATGCTTCTGACAAGATCGAAAAAGATTTAATTCTGCTTGGAGCTACTGCAATAGAGGATCGTTTGCAAGATGGAGTGCCAGAATGTATAGCCACTCTAAAACGTGCCGGTATAAAAATCTGGGTATTGACAGGAGATAAAATGGAAACAGCAATTAGCATAGGTTTTTCTACTTGTTTATTAAGTAGGGAAATGAATCTCATTATCGTTAGGGGTGGTGCTTATGGAGAACCTGGTAGTGCTTATGAACAAATGCGTAATGCAGTAGAAAAGTTCTTTCCAAGTGAGCTAGAAATTCTCGAATCTGCTGCGAAAGCACCTCCTGTAGTATTGAATAATAACGGTACTCGACCATCAATGACACATACACGAGAAATGAGCTTTGGTGGTATTTCTCTTTTTTCCGATTTATCAAATGTTCATCGACCCGGTGGGTATGCCTTGATAATTGATGGTTCGGCCCTCAAACATACATTAGATGAACCCTTTAGTCGGAGCTTACTTTTAGATTTGGCTTGTCGATGTAAAGGGGTTATTTGTTGCCGTGTTTCTCCTCTGCAAAAAGCTAAAGTTGTAGAGTTGGTGAAGGAAGGAAAGCAGGCTGTAACATGTGCAATAGGAGATGGCGCCAACGATGTTAGCATGATTCAGGTATATCATATTATATATTATCAACAACTCTAATTAAGACAAATTTTGTTAATTTGCATATTTTATGATTGATAGGCCGCACACATTGGCATTGGTGTAGCGGGAGAAGAAGGACTACAAGCTGTTATGGCGTCCGATTATGCCATTGCACAATTTCGTTTTCTTACTCGTCTCTTGTTAGTTCATGGACATTATGCTTACATTCGTAATTCCAACTTAATTTTAAACTTCTTTTATAAGAATATGATTGGCGTCGGAGTTCTATTTTGGTTTCAATTATTTGATGGATATTCCACAACAGTCATTTTTGAGTATACATATACATTGTTTTGGAATTTATTCTTCACCTGTTGCGCTGTGTTGGCCATTGGTGTTTTTGATCGTGACGTTCCTGATAGAGTGGCAATTGAGGTACCAGAATTATATCAATGGGGAATGAAAAAGACAGCGTATACAATGCCCATATTTTTTGTATTCATGTTTGAAGGAATATATCAATCCCTGGTGTGCTTTTTTGTTCCATATTTTGCTTATGATTTTGGGAGTGTAAACGCTGGTGGTCATTCGCCTGATTATCTTGAACTGGGCACAGAGATGGCAGCAGCTTGTATTACAGTGGCTAATCTGTTTAATGGATTTAATTCTGAATGTTGGACGGTATTTCATTTTATTGCTGTATTTGGATCAATTGGACTAATATATATTTATATAGCAATATATAGTTTAGTACCAGATATGCAAGATTCTGGAATTTATGGTTTTAATAATATCGTATATCGTTC